TGGAACTGGAGGAAATCAGTATAAAGCCCCAAATTTTAATATATGTAAATTTCAAAACTGATATAGATGTGTGTCCACACATGTATGTTATGTAGCTACACTTCCAGTTTTGTCTACGGAAAGGATCTAGAAGTAACGATTCCTTCAACAAGCACATCCGGCACTCAGATCTAGGTTCCTAAATAATACTCTACGAAAAGGAACCAGAGCTCTTGAAAAAAATGGCTGAGTCCCAGGACTGAAGTAGGAAAAATATAAGATGATCCTGGAACAGATCTTGCTGTATCAGAAAGCAGGGAAGTGCTCAAGGAATGATGGAGACATGTCCCATAAGAGCAGCTTGAAGGGGCTCCCGCTAGCCAACTACAAGATGATTTGACGTCAAAAATATGATAGATTTAAGTTTGTAACCCTCAGAGTAAAACAGCAATCCAAGAGTCTGTCCTGATTTGACACTTTAAAATGAATAAATGAATATATGTATACATAATAAGGGAGAAGGGAGAGTTGCCAATGAATAAATCTAGAATGAAGGATTTTTTGAAAAGATCATCATTTGGAACTTTCACAATAATAGGTATGGACAAGAATCATTAATGGACACTAAATCCATAGGTGAAAATTTGGCGAGAAACATGTTTTCATAACATCGAAGCATCTCCCTGTGGGGAAATAGGTTCTACTTACATAAATGGGTTAGAAAAAAAGCTTAGAGTGGAAAGCCGCCACCATGGGGGAGAAAGCACCCGAGGATAGCTAGCAGGACATTATAATGGGGTCAGGAGTAGCTTATTACATCACCTGCAGGAAACTACTGTCCATCTGATGCCAATATACTACTGTTCTTTGATTACAAACTCCACTTGCCCTCCAGACCCTTTGCTTCTTCCACACAAGTTAATGATTACTGTCTATTTTCTCCACGTTCACGTGTGTAAGATCTTGTTTTCTTCACGTTCACCACGTGAGTAATATCTTATGAGCTCAATAAATCCGGAGACAAAACCCCTGTTCAGGGCTCTTGTCTCCTCCCGAACACTAGCCTTTCAATTCTGCATCTGCTCTCTTGCCGGACAAGAAAGAACTCCAGACTCATAGTCTGCTACATCTCCCCACAAAATATTTTTAAGTAAACACATTTATTAATTTTACTGTGGAGAAATGGAACAAACACTATCTTAACCAGGTGAAAAAATGTAGCATCACCAGTGAACAAAAACCAACACAGTATGTGTCTGATACAATCCATAGAGAGGAACACAGCAACACCTGTGTTATTTTTGTCAAAAAAGGCTTAAGTCAGGAGACATTACATAAACCCAAACTGAGGACAGCCCACAAAGTCATTGGCCCGTATTCTCATAAAGTGTCAAGTCATGAAAGACAAGGAAAGACTGATCTAGACTGAAGGAGACTAAGGGCACATGATAACTAAACGTAACATGTGATCCTGAATTGGATCCTGGGCCCGTAAGAGACATGATTGGGTCAAATCAAGAAAAATGTGATGACAAAAGCAAGATATTTGATGATCAATGTTAACTTCCTGATTGATGGTTAACTGTGGTGATGTGGGAATGTTCCTGTACTTACAAGATACACACTGAAATTTTATAGAGTAATGAGGCAATACTTCTTCAGTATGTCCCAATTGTTCCAGAGATGTTAACAACTGGGTAATCTGAGAGGAAGAGCATCAGGAGCTCTAAATACTACTTCTGTTAAACATTTATGTAAATTTACAGTTGTTTTCAAAGAGCTAAAAATTTTAAAACACAGTAACAATGATGAAATGCCGTTCCCTAAATTTATAGTCTGTACAAAAAAATGGGTAGGGGCAAATTAATAAACATAAAGAGTGACAGACTTAGAAAATCGTATCATATTAACAACTGAGTCAAGCAAGAATCATCAACGGATGCTAAAAACATTGGGTGAAAGCTTAACGTACAATTTGCAAAGTCTCAAAGTATCTCCCTACAAGTTGCTTTTTAAACTACAAAGGGACAATAACTGCAGTAGAGAAACCCGGAAAATGCCATCATGCTCAAGTGATCCAAGTAAACAACAAGGGGACAAATGCTATCATTTGCATGCTGACATGATGCAATGAACAGGACGTATCACCAGGTAAAGTTTGAATAACTCTTGCATTAGACAATGATATGAAATGTTCAATTTCCCAAACGTGATGAACTGTTCTGGGGTTACATAAAAGACTCTCCTTGTTCTTAGGAAATACATGCTAAAGGGTTTGGAAATAAAGAATCAGGATAACTGCAATTTACTCTCAGGGGGTTCGGCAAACATAGTAACCTATTTCTGGGTAAAAGGTATTGAGCAATCTCTATTCTTGCAACTCTTCCACAAACTTGAAAATACTTCAAAATGCAACATTTTTTAAATTGCTATCAAAAATAAGTACTTCTGGGTTTTTGGATTTCAACTAATTTTCATTCTCCTCTCATATTTACAGTTTGAATTTGTTTACAATACTAATATAGTATTTTCATAATCCTAACAGCTACTCTTATTTTAGAAGGAAATCTGTGATCTCACACCATACAGTATAGTCTAAAACATATTTCTGTGAATACTAGTTTCACAGTTTATTATACATGTTATTAGCAACATTTTATCATAGGTGTTTCTTTACAGCAGAACTTTTCAGAATTTTAAACATGCTAGTGCATATGCTAGAAAATTTTTCAAGAGGACAATATGCCACTTCATATTTCCTGGACAGTGACATAATCTAAATAAGAGACACCACTGAAAAAAACAGCTTTTTAAGGGGGAAAAAAAAAATCACCATGACAATAAACACACGTGTAGTAAAATGAGCACCAATCTCAGAAACAAAAATGTGGGGGAAATTATATATTAGAATTGTCAAAATATAGAATTACACGGGTCTTCCAATCATATTTGGTCACCATTTTTTTCATGAGGAATCTAAAAGACACAGACCTGGAGACCTATGTTACCAGACAGTATACCTTGGCTAGTTCTACAAAAGTCTTAACCAAAAAGAAAAAAAAAAAAAAAAAAAAAAAAAAAAAAAAAAAGGCAAAACCTGCCCAATTTTATAGCAACGAACAAAATCACTTAATCCCCATCATCCGCCAATTTAACCCATATTTTAAACATTAAATTGCCACTTGTCAGATTGATTGCTTCTGAATTTCACCATGTATTCATGGGACCAATTTAGAGTCAGCTTTTATCTCATGAAGTATTTTTAGAATTGGAGACCTTTAGGGGCGCCTGGGTGGCGCAGTCAGTTAAGCGTCCGACTTCAGCCAGGTCACGATCTCGCGGTCCGTGAGTTCGAGCCCCGCGTCGGGCTCTGGGCTGATGGCTCGGAGCCTGGAGCCTGTTTCCGATGCTGTGTCTCCCTCTCTCTCTGCCCCTCCCCCGTTCATGCTCTGTTTCTCTCTGTCCCAAAAATAAATAAAAAACGTTGAAAAAAAAAGAAGAATTGGAGACCTTTAATTTTTTACATAAACTTAATTCTTGGTCAAGATGCCTGGATGCTCTTGGTAATTTTAATCTCACATTTCCTTCATCATTTTCAGTCTTTAACTTCAGCTCATGCATGGAATCTGGCTAAATTGGGGTCTACAGAGAATCTTCCTACACTGAAGCTTTCTTCTCTTGGACTGATTCTTTAGGCCTGGATCTCCTTAAAGAGAAAGTTACAGGGTAGCAAGTTCCTCCTTGACTTGTCAGGGATTGGTTGTAAAAGAGCTGTGAGACTCTCTTCAGTTAAATAATAGTTAAAAAAAAAAAAAAAAAAAAAAAAAAAAAAAAAAAAGTCTGTCATTTTCACAAGACAACATGATTGCCAGAAAGAGTCCTGCAACCTGTTCCCCAGCTCCATACAAGGTATGTGTCATGCACCTCCACTTAGTAGACATAAAAGAATATTAGGAGTCACTTTTAACAATTCATCTAGCCCAACACCTCCTTGGAAAGAACATTTAATGGTTTTTGGCTACTTTATCCAAAATTTATCTATCTTCAGTTTTCCTCCAGTTCTGTAATTTTGCCCAAGTTTCAAATTGATAATCACTGGTTGGTTTATCGCTCCATACCCAATGTGGGGCTTGAACTCACCACTCTTGAGACCGAGAGAGAGCCACAGGCTCTACTGACTGAGCCAGACACGTGCCCCCGATAATCACTGCTTTACATTAAAAACAAAAACCTCTCAGGGCACCTCGCTGATGCAGTCATCCAACTTCAGCTCAGGTCATGATCTCCCGGTTCATGAGCTCGAGCCCTGCGTCGGGCTCAGTGCTGACAGCTCAGAGCCTGGAGCCTGCTTCGGATTCTGTGTCTCCCTCTCTCTCTGCCTCTCCCCCTCTCGCACTCTCTCTGTCTCAAAAATAAAACAAAACAGTAAAAAAAAACAAAAACAAAAACAAAAACCTTTCCAAAACACACACCTCTCAATACAGAAAAAGCCTAAGGGAAAGATAAATCATGTGACTAAAGTTAGCACAACAAAATTTGGCTCATCAGCCTCCAAATAAATCTTTGCGTGTTCTCCCCTGCACTTCAACTGATTTCTTCTTTTAAGGGACTATCTAAGCTCTCAATCAGAACACCGTAGACCTCACGTTGCTATTATGTGTCTTATCAAAACCAACTACTTCTCAGCCCGTCCTGCAATTTTAACTCCTGGAGAAAGTTCTCAATTGCACGCTGTCTCTACAAACATTCCCCCGATCTCTTGCATCCAATACCCCCAGCAACTCAGAGAAGAGTTTGCAATTTTAATATGTTCCAGAAACAGGAGACGAAACATGACAAATTTAAGATGATGAGAGAAAAATTCAAAAATGAAAAGGTTGTATCTTATTCCTGGGCTGTAAGAAGCAGGACGAACAGCACTCTTCTTTGTATACAATCCTCGAGGCCTTAAACAAACCTTTGATGATGTAAGTAGGGTTGCATAACCCCATTTCATTACTCTTACTACCAGCGGTACCTACCCTGTATCTCCCAAGCCGTGAAGGAAAATCACCTAAAAGAGAAGAGGGAAAATTAATAAGCAATGCCTAAACAGACCCACAGAGAAGCGTTAGACACTGAGGCCTCGGTTACGGTGGATGATGCCGCAATCACAGAGCACTGCCTTCAGCAAGTTCATCAATCTCTACAGACCTCTTAAGTGACGAAAATCTTTAACTTCTCTCCCCGAGTTCCTAAGACAATCAAGGTGGCGTTTTAGCACTTAAAAGAGGTCCCAAGTAGACATTCCTAGGTGCGAATGTCCACCCATTTTAAGAAAAAGACTTTGTCTCTTTCCAGTCAAACCATGCAAGCTTCGCATAGGGTGCCGAATTTTTCCATCGCAAAAAGGAACTTCCGGGCGGGCATAAAAAGTTTGAGATCCTCATACCCAAGTTTCCTAAAAAAATCAAACAAACAAACAAAAAAACCCAAAAAACAAAAACCAAAACAAAACCAAAAAACAGCACCTCTGGTTTTGGGAGACACGAAATCTTCAAACTTCTTTAATTTAGAACAAGAGTGCGAGGTAAGAAAATAAAGCATTCCCTCATCACAAATGAGACAGAAGCATGTTAGAAAGCCACCTCGTGTTAAGGCGCTTGTCCGCTAACGCCACTGTCCCCAAGC